CTACTGCCTCTTCAATGTTCTTTTATATCCTCTTAGGAAGTAGCAGGCAGTTTCAAAAGCCAGCTGAAGACAAGAGACTAATTGCTTCCTATAGCTAAAATAGACTTTTGCCCAGGGTGGGAATCCTTTGACCACGTCTCCACTTGCCATGCCAGAAATTGATCTTCTGGCATTCACTTTAGTGGGTCTAGTAAAGATCTGTTAAATTGAATGCTGAGACCATCCCTGGTCAGTGCCGATACTCCTTGCAGTCGAGGAATAAGGGAAGCCAACAGGAGCATTTGCTCCCATTGACCTCCCTGTGAAGACAGTGCCAAGCTCGTCTTAAGGTCAATCAACTCCAGCTAATAATGTATTATTCATATAGCTGGAGTGGCATACCTTAAACCAACCTTCTGGGTCTACTATATACCTGGCCTTTATGGATCTGCCATGCGCATGGAAAAATACCAGGTTCAAGGTGGATTCCAGTACTAGGTGGTATGATCACATGTCTTTCTAGGATCAATCACATGGGCTTACATGACCATTCACAGGTCATTAATTTGATTTCTTAGCCAATGTTTCCAGGGCATCCATGATGGCCCTCATGGCACATTTAGAATTATAAACAGATCCAAACTTCATATTGCTAATTTCACATACAAGAGTGATATATGCACAAAAATAGGGTAGACACATTCAGCAGATTGTAACATTAAAATTTATAGGTTACATGAGAGATTTTGTCTAAAGTGTCTTCAGGTTATACATATTCATATTCAAGGTGTTAAGGTGTTCGTGTGTCCACAACAGTTTTTGCCAGTGATGAAAAATATGGATCTGGTGCTGCATTTTGAAAATTCAAAGGGGCCCATGGTACTTCTTTGACATCTGTGGCTATAGGATGAGACCTTACGTTGGGATTACTCAGATATAGGGTTTAGTTAGAAAGATAAAGTTAGGAACCTTTTATAAAATTTGAATCCTTCCAGGTTCAGCTAATTAAACCATAACATTCACAGAAGTAATGACTGCAAGCCAAAAGGCCATTTGCAAACGCAGATCCAGATTTGCAAACATCCATAAGTACTGCGGCTGTTCAGAGCCGAGGGTTCAGTTTGGGACAAGTTTTGCAAATTGGCAAGCCAAATTCTGCACTCATTCACAGCGGGGTAGGAAAGAAGAACTGGGCCCTTTGTTTTAAAAACAAGGTGCATCTGCTTAGTGTCTGACAGCAACCTTTGATACATTTACAAAGAAATTAAATAAGCCCAGGAAGAGTGTAATTTTGTTTATTCTGATCAGAATGCATGTCTACATCATACTGGAAATGGAAACCAGGGATTATATCTGTTCTTGGGCAAGAGAGACTTTTCATAGGTTTCTATGCTCCATTATCTCTGCTAGATCCTCAAGGGGAGAGCCCCCACTCCCAATGTCACAAGACATAATATAACCACATTCTCTATGCTGATATCTCCTTCCTCTAGTTTTACTGAAAAGATACATCTCACAAAAACATGCAAACCTGGTGCTGGGTGGTGGAATAGATTTTCACCTAGAACTTTCCTTCTCATGTCATGTAGCCTTAGTGAGAGTTGTCCTGAGCAACATTATAAGCCTGTTTGTTGAAGACATTAGAATCTTTCTCATTTAGGGATTCACATGTACATTAAATCTGCATGTGGATAAGTCTTCACAGGATGGTCTGGGATTGTACCAATTTCTGGAACAAATTAAAGCACTAGCAGACAGCCCCAAAATACACTCTGTACTACTCTACTAGGAGGAGGGTGAATAGCTGACTAGAATAGCTTTGCACTAACTCAGGATTTTTAAGGCTACTACAGCTGGAGAGACATGACTGTAATTTACAGACACTCCCTCATAAGGCACAGGATTATGAACATAGGAATTTGGAGATGTGCCCTGGAAGCAGGGGTTGGGAACATTGTATGGTGATATGCTATGCACAGCCAAAGATGCTCTCCAGTTTGATTAAAGTTTCATTCCTTTCTCATTCACTGGTTTGTTGTTTAATGAACCCCAAGATAGTTCATGGTGTCAGAAGGGCTGAATGAGAAGGAAACTGCAGTCATTTTGAATTTTGCTTTCAGCTGCAAAGGGAGGCACCACAGAAGCTTTTGCATGTATTTGAGCACAATAGTAACTTGGTTAGCTTAAGAAGGGGGGTGAGGGAACCCCCAAAAATTGATGTGTTGCAACCTAAATCCTGTCTGCAATTGTCAGGCAATTTTGCAGAGCATTGGAAAAAATTAGATAGAGATTTGAATTGTATTTAGCAGCAGTGAAAACTGAAGAGGATTTGGAATGTAGAAGATTGTGAATGTAAAATACATGTAACTAAAGCTCGGGGCATGGGATACAGGTGCAGGTGGCTTGGGGAGGTGGTGGGGGGGAGGGAGGGGGCAAGAGTCAGGGCAGGCAGTGCCACACCAGGCTACATTCTGAGAGGCCTGGCTCATGCTACTGTTTGTGCTCCTAGGAATTGCTCCATCTCTGGTACTTGCTTAGCATTGACCAATTAAATTGGCCAAATTTGGCAGAAACTGCTATGTTTACAGGTAACCATTGAAAAGGACATTTTAAAATGAATTTACATTTGGTCTGGTTTCAATGGGTTACTGAAGTCTTGTATTCCTGATAAAATGTAGTGCCCTTAACATGCATATTTCAAGTTTTCATGGGAAGCAGTGTAGTTTGAGGACTGCAGAAAATGGCTAACAATCAGAAAGGTTCTAGCTTCACATTAACATGAGGTATCAGCCATCAAATGCAAAGAATACATCTATACGGGCAGATGGTCATTTCCATGAAATGCCTCCTTAGACTGCTCTGGCAGCCACTGTTTCAAAGCCACTTTGCTCAGTGTGTGTAATTCCATAGATCCTGTCCAGCCAGGTCCTCAGCCAAGCACTGTTAAACTTCCAGCTGCTTCACTTGACATCAGTTCATATTTTAGATCCAAAATCCGAGAGAGTCAATACTGAGCTTTGTGGACATCTTAATGTTAGTGTGACGACTCAACACACATTTGTAAAAACCAGGTTAATTTTTTTTCCCCAAAAAATCAAGTCTTGGAAAATGTCCAGTTATGGTCACCCATTTAATTATTGTACTTTCATTTTTTTAAATGAAAAATCCAAACTCCTGACTAAATTCCTAGTATGAATCAAAACTCTGGCTTTAATTATATAGACTTGTGAGCCAGCAGTGTGGCATCTTTCCACTTCCTCATTTCATGTGACTTTTTCTTCTCAGTATATGGAGTGATGTACGAGACCGCTGGGAAGAACTTGGGAGCTTAAAAAGTTGAGTAGTCTTGCCACTTGAAGAAAATATGCCCTTGAGCTGCAGTAAAGCTGAATCCAAATAGATTTTAAAACAGACACCTTATATCAGAGTGTCTCATCCCAGTAGACAGCTCCACATTTATGGCATTTCCTGGGGTTGAATTTTTCCTCTCATCGCCTTAGTTTTGTGCTCACTAATATTTTAATTATTGTAACAAGTGGATTGAAAACAAAGAGTCAGATTCTCTCTTGAGTGCAGCTTCCACTGGGTGTAGCAGAGAGGAGAGCTGAATGATTTTTCTACCTATGTTTGGACCTGAAGGTAGTTTAGAGCAGCCTGTGCCGGGTGACTATGGCTGCCTAGGACCTATATCCAGATGACTACTGCTGGAATGTAAAGTGTGCCTCCCACCTTTCCTGCCTAGTCCTTCCTACCCTGCAATACCCCTTACAGTGTAGGAACCAGCTATGTCTGCTTTGTGCCTGCAAGAGACTTCCCAGCAAGAGGATTATGCTTGGTTTTCATGCTATTTATGTAGCCTGGAGTAGGGCACATTATCTGCACCTAAAAAAGAAGAATTCACCTAAGGTGCTGAGCCATCCAGGATGAAGAGCCCTTAGCAGATTCCCCTCTTCAGGCAGATAGCAGTATTAATGCCTGCTAATCCCTATAGTGAATCGCATTTGTATATATCAGCAACTGTAATTGGCACCCTGATGTGTGTTTGGGCGTGATTTGCTCCCCAAAATTTCCTACTGTAAGTATCCACTCAGAAGAAAAACAGTTACGGGTACATGAGATTGTCAACATACTGTTCAAGCCCGCATGGGAGTTCAGTTCAGAGGCGATGGGACGACTATCCATCATGCCTTGCATTTGGTGAACACTTTATTACAGGTAGAGCTGGTATCACGGCTTATAGATGGGTTACTCGTTCTCTGGCATAGATGTTCCAAGGATGGAAAGGGAATGATGGAAACTATTTCCACTACACAGATTCTCAGCTGAAGCAGTGAGAGAAAGCACTGTAACTAATACCAGAGTTGGGCCAGCGCTACTGAGCCCAAACCTCTGAGTGATTTGAGGCCTGTAGCATTCATGGCCTGACCCAAAGTACATTGAAACCATTAGAATCTTTCAGTATGTTTCACTTAAACATTTAAAATGCATCCTGTTTTATCCAGAAGCAACCTCCTGTCTCTCCCTACTCCCCTCACAAATTGCTGCTTTCTTTTTTCAACTCTTCTTTGATCCCAGATGAAAACAAATTGGATTTATGGCTCCCACTGTGAGCAACAGATTGAGCCAAACCCTTTGAAAGGGAATTGAGACCCCCAAGCAGAAGAACTTGCACAAGTAAATGCTTTTAATTAAAAATAAAATGTTTTGAAGTCCTAGCAGGATGTGTCAAATGGCCCAGTAATTGTGTACATTGCATCCGTATGGAACCTATTTAGAACCGAGATGGAAGCTTTGCTATCACTTCAGATAAATGATAGGCTGTTTGCTCTAGGCACTATTATTGTTGTGTGTTGTAGCAAATTAAACTATCTCCAGAAGTGGAATTTCCCTATGTCTTCCCCCACTCTCTTTTCATGAAGTATACAGATCCAAATTTGGCCCCCACCTTTTCCCACCTGTTTCTTCTACAGTTCCTACCAGGAAAATTTTCACCAGCCCTGGGTTGTTACCAGTGTTCCTTATAAGGAGCTCTCCCATGCAGCCATGCACTAAAAATTCTAAGCCTGCCCACCTCCTTCACACAGCTGTGCCGCAGCCCTTGCTTTCCTGCTGGATTTGGAAGGTGAGTGGTATGGCTTCTCCCATGCCTGGGGCTGGGGCGGGGAGGCTGCTATTCTGGCAGCTGGGGCTGTGTTGGGGAATGGCTGTTCTGCTTGCTGCTGGGCTTTGGGGTTGTGAGGAGGTGGGAGGGCAAGTGTCTGCTGCCGTGGTTTGGGGCCATGGATGGGCGGGGTGCTGCCACCGGGGCTTGAGACAGTGGCCACATGTAGGATTGACAGCTGTCCGGTATTGATCCAAACAGTCCGGTATTTTCACCTCCTCTCTGGTAAAAAAATTCAGAAAATACCGGACACCTAAAATGTCCAGTATCTTCTGATTTTTTTTCTCTGCCAGAAGGCAAAAATACCGGACACCTGGCAACCCTATGAGACACTCAGCAACCAGACACAGCCCCCAGGTCCCTCCTCGGCCCCTGGATGTCCCCTCTCCCAAATCCCCCCTGCTTACCCGGTTCTGCATTGTGGCTGGAGAGAAAAACAAAATGGCTGCTGGCAAAAAAGCCTTTTTTTTTCTTTTTCTCAACTCCCCCCCCCCCCCCCCCCTCCTCCTTCTTCTTCTTCCTTTTGTTTTTTT